TAATGTTAGTTCGGAAAGGTTCGAGATTATTTGTTCATGCGGTATAACAACGGGAGATCTTGGTGATAATATTTATTAGTGAATGGAAATATGAATCAAAGGAAAAAGAAGATCTAATTCTGATTCTAATCTAAAGTATCAGTCAAAGATCACTTAAATAATAATTACGAAATTCATCATAATAAAAGAATTATCGGACATAAAAAGTCAGTTGCTTTTGGTAAATTAAATGAAAAAATGCTAATTAATCACACAAATTGCAATGTTAGTTAAGTAAATAAAAATTTTGTCGTAAACATTATAAATTTTTCTACGAACAATTTTTTTCGAATATAATAATATTTTACAATGTAAATTTCTAGAAAATATTACTACGTGATTTAATAATTTTGCATTACATAATAATAATTTCGGGTTTCCAACACGTTATTTACTTCATTTTCTGCCTTTTCTCTTTCAATAAGTATCAGATGTTTGTCGAATTTTTCGCCGATTACATCGAAATATTTTCCTTTCTTACTGCCACCGTGACAAACGCCACTCTTTCTCTCATAATACTCTCGAATTTCAAATGTTTAAATTCCTGTTAAATTCATATCCCACTTTGTTGTCATTCCATTAGCTACTCAATATATTAAAAAGATTGATCAAAAGTCTACCCCGACGGAGAAATGATAATGATTGCTTTCAGGAATTTCAATATTTGATACGTTCATTTCTAGAACGATCAAATTCATTCGTGTTTTTCTTCTTTACGGTAATTTCACGTCAAAATTATGAAGTAGATCTTATCAACTATAACCAAATCATTCAAGTAGGCTTGTTGAGGTGAAGGAAATTTTTGAGGACAAGGATTCTAACTGTATTCGTTTAAAGTTGAATGAAGAATAAAATCGAAAGCATAACTAATTTTTTAAACTCAAAAAAGGTCATGTTTGGTATATATCATGACCCTGTTGATATCATTTTAGATTTCTTATTGGGTGAAGAGTTGAACAGTTCAGCACCTGGAAATAAGAGCGATAATTAAGTGAATTATTGCGTCACGGAGTTTTTTCGAGCATTTCATTCGACAAAGAATTACATTAGAATTTTTTTCACGAGCCACAAACTATTACTACACACTTATCGCAATCTTTAAATTGTAATTTGATGAGACAATTACAAAATTAATTTGCGAAAATCGATTTAATAGTGATGCAATTATCATTATCATATATTTTTTCTATTTCATTTTATCATCTGTCCACAAAATAAAGGAAATGTAATGGACATCGAGAATCGATCAATATTAGTTTCATACAATCACGAAGTTTTGAAATTAACGGAACAATTATAGGTTGAATGCCTAAAGGCATATATTGTCGTGAAAAATTTTTGATTGAATAATTGTGTGACAAAGATTGTTGCAGATTAGCGATAATGTTATATGACAATTTTCATTGATGAAGATTTCTTCGTGATTATTGATAAGTGAAATAATTGAGAATTGGTAAGGTGTAGGATGAGTTAGACGGTGAAGCTAACTGTTAAGTCTGACTAGTGATTTAGGTGGATGATGGGGAATGACCCGTGACCTCTTTTTGTTGGCGACACTCAGTGAGCACTTAATCTAGCAGATAGTTTGGTATTTGAACAAAGAGGTCATAGAGCCATTCGATGGATGAACAAAGAACGGTGTAACCATTTGATAGATGAAACGGATTGCAACAAAGAATCGTCTAAACATTCTGCAGATGAAGCTAATGATGGTAAATCAGCACTCATCTAATCCCTTATACAGTTTATCATATTTTTCGGTTTTCGTCAACATGTCATATATGAATTGACCTCGGGGTCAAGCAATTTACCTGCATACTGCTGCACATTTTTGTAGATTGCTTTCTGTAGTGAAGTTCGGTTCTTTCAACAAGGATGAATGTTTTTTAGTTCTAAAATTTCATTTTCCTCTCATGCGGTAAATTAGTCTGATGTCCACTGATTAGTTGTATTTCGTGTTACCGAGATCATGCAATTAATTCCATATCCCTCAACTTCAGCAAATATCATTTGTTAATGTCCATTTATTGACTATATTCCAACTGAATAACTTCAAGGTCATGTAGCTCAGAAAACTGTACATCAAATAAATCATATTTATGATGTCCATCGATTGGCTGCGTGCTATGGCAGAGACCTCGAGGTTGAGCTCAATTACACATTACTCAATTGTCATTTGCTGATGTTTCCTATCCATTACTCTGTCTCGTGGAAGGTCAAGCAATTATTGCACCCCATTCAGCAGCATTCCTACAGATTGCTTTCTGAAGTGTAGTCCACTTCTTTGTTTTCTTTCAATTAAATGGTTGTTAATTTTTTAGTTCCAAAATTTCTTCCTTTCCTTAAATTTGAAAGTAAATAGCAAATTAAATAAATATCCTCTGTTCATGGTCATCCGTTGATTATTTATGATTATCAATAAATATTATTTAATTGATATTTATCCATTGGTTATGTCATGATCGTGTAACCTTAGGATTATGTAACTTAGCTTACATTCCTCAATTCGTGTAAATGCTAATTATAGATATCCATCTGTTAGGTATGTCCTGTACGAATGACCCTGCGATTCTGCAATCCACTCGGAAAGCTTGCAAATTACTTTCTGCAGTGCAGTTCATTTCTTTTAACGAGAATAACTACTAATTTTGTTCATCGTTTTTTGTTTTAGTAGTGATGGTCATAATGCGAATGACCACCCAATATTGCAATGAACTTATCTTTTAATAGCGAGGAAATATACCGTTACTTAGAGAGATCTGGAATTACACAGAGGATTATCATTGCATTGATCATGAGTATTTACTCATCGGTTGCAGCATATTCAAATGAGAATGACCTCAAGGTCAGACAATCGATCAGTTGTTTTGACATTTGAATGCCTCAATGCAGTGATTTATCGCAGCAATGGTAACAGTCTATTCTTTTTTTTCTTGTTTTTTTGTTGTTTCGATGCAGCAATGCAAAGAAATCGGTTATCTTACCTGTCGGACTGTTTGCTTTGATCTGTCGAGAATGTTCTGCTCAAGCTTTGTCGATATTTCACGAACTAACTTCCTACTAATGCTTCAAAAAAATAATTACAGCCGTACTATTTCATAACTGAAAAAATAAATGAAACATTTCAAAAAATGGTCATTTGCAAGAAATCATCAAATTTCTATAATAACAACAATATTTAGCAAAATATTTTCTAAAAAAAAAAATCTTTGTTGCATTATCAATATCTACCAAATATTTCAAAGTATCAATAAAGATTTTATAAAATTTGATGAAATATTTGCTGAAAATCCCTTTCATAGCCATCATTTGCTAACTCCATTTAGAGTAATTGTTGAAAAAAAAATATCCATTTGGAGTAATTGTTGAAATAGAGGAGGAGATTATTTTAATGATAAGGCAGTAAGAGAATAGAAATATCTTACTGCCTTATCATTAAAATAGTCTCCTCCTCTATTAAATCCTTTGATAATTTTTGATTTGTTTCGTTCCACCAAAGAACTAACAACAAATTTTATACCTTGAATCCTCACATTTCTAATTTCATCTGTCTTTGTGATAAAATAGCTAGCATAATATTGCTATTCTCGGGTCATGCATTTACATATCTCCCAATCATATCTCTTTTCAATTCTCACTTAATGAAATTATGCAAAATACAATCCACAAAGAGACTGGTTTGTTGCATCATTAGACGCTGCATGTTGCATAACTCGATGCAGATGGTTTTATACAACCGTTAGTGGTTTAGTCTCGGTTTTCGTTCGTTTGTTCCTTGTGTGGTGTCTGTGACGTGGGCGGTTTACTATAGCTGTTAGGTCAGTGTGCGTGGGGCGTGAGTACATAGCCATACACGCGTATGTAAACGTGTGCCGTTTATAGGAAATGATATAATGATGTACGTGATTAAAAGTGAACGATAGTTACATGAAAAGATGAAGTAGATTTCACTGAAGAATAGTAGTTATATAAAAAATGTAGTGTGTATGATTGAGCGTCATTGGATTTGTTACATTGTAATTTATTGATTGAATAATTCATATATATGCTATGAATAAATTGTTATTTCAAATGTGATTTTGCTATGATTTATTTACATCCTTCAAAAAAAAAAAAAAAATGATTGATCGCTTCTACTAATGCGTAATTATTTAGTTAAATAATTGATCGGAAAAGATACAAAATTAGCAGGAAAATAACGGCTAGTATATTTTGCTATTCAAGATCATGTTTCGCTCTACGCATTATTAATTATGTAAGTGGATTGTGAGGCTATAGGTATAAGTTTTCACGGAATTGTTATTTAATATACCCTGGAGAATTCGCCAATTTTTGTGCGGTATCTCGATGAGCTATATTGTTATCTATTTCAGATTAATTATTTAGAGGAATGTCTGTAACAGCAGCAAGTACTGCACCTCCACTTCCTAATCTGTAAGTCATATCATCTTTTCATCATTTGTTAATCATTCGTGTAATATTTGTTTTTTTTAACAAAGCATAAATTTAGTATTATACAATGTGGTTGCGTATTCGTTTCATGATACAGTTGGTTAGCTTACTGAAACAGCAGCTGGGAATTTTGGAGTTAATTGTGAATGTAGAAGTAGTCTCATTTTAATGTTTCAGTTTTAGCTTTTATTATGTATCATCATTTATTACAGAAGTTCTATTTCTGCTATTGGTAGTTGGGCTGAAGCTGTCGAACAGGAAAGTAAGTCGTCCTGTCGTCCTGAATTTCTAACTTTTTTATTTGAGAATTTACAATTAACTTCCTGAACTTTTTGTCATTGAGTCCATGAATACTTGCATTGTCAAGAAGTGTGTGAGGATCCGAATATAGAGTACATCTGCACAAAAACTTTTTAATCAAATATTACTTGAATTTTTAGAACTATTGAGTTAAGATATATTCTTAGTAGTTTGGTCTGCGTCGGATAAATTGTAGAATTGTTGGGTGATAAGATAGATGAATTTTGCATAATCTGGAGTAAATATTTTGGATCTTTTTTCCTTATTTGAAACTTTTTCAGCTCTAGGTGGAGCTCATGAATCAACAAAAGATGGAATCAAAATTGTTACCGATATTATATCTGACGATACCGGCAAATATAAGGTTAATGAAAATCGTAATTTAATATCGGTGATTTGTTTTTTGCTTTCAAGATGTGGTAGTGAATAGTACTATTAATAAACAGAATAGTCACCATCACGAAAGAGAACTTGTAAAATGAGTAAGCAAACCGTGCAAGGTGAGCCAAAGCGTAAAACAAATATGAAATAATTTTTGATTTTGTGCTATTTATGTCAGGTTGTAACAACTTTTAAAGTTGTAACGAAAAAGGTGTCAAGACCGATAGCAGAACGGAAGAAATGGAAGAAATTCGGACAGTGTAAGAATGATGGTCCTGGACCGCATGTGTCCACAACTTATGTGGCTGAAGAAGTGCTTATGCAATTCATTAGGAATCGCGCTGGTGAAGTGAGTATTAACTCGTCTCTGATATTGTTTTTTTTTTTTCGCATTTTGTGGCTTTCAAGTAACAGAAAGTGCATCAAATATATTTTAGCAACAACTCGATATCGGTGATGAAGGAACTAAGGTTACAGCGACAGCTGGAGGATCATTCACTCATTGTCGCTATTGCAAAGTTGGTTGTTTTAGATTCTATGAACAGAAGATAAGATTTAGGTGTTACAATGTTTGGAAATTGTAGTTTTTTTGATGAAAGAAAATTTGCAACTTGATTAGTTCGGTTAAATGATTGCTTATAAACCAATTTGTATTTTGAAATCACTTTTAGTCAGACGAGCACTGGTCTGTGAGTTGTCCATACAAGTCAATGTATGCGAAAGATGATGAAGAGGATCTAGAAAGTAAAGAGAAAGATACAAAACTTGGTCCAACAGCACCGGGATCAGGCAAGTATGTAGCACCGGGGATGCGTGGAGATCGTCCAACGATTACAGGTGGTGCAGAAAGGAGATCCGAGGAAAATACATGCAGAGTTACAAATTTGCCGGAAGAGTGTGATGAAATGGTTGGTTCATTTTTCGGAAGCTTGAATCATTTTATGACTTAAATGTTAATATCAATGATTTGAAAAAATTTTACGTGTGTATAGTCTGCAGATTTGAGATTGTTACTTTTATTTTGAAGTTGACATGCGGTTCGCAAGTTGAATGAAAACAAGGAATTTTAAAAAAGAAATAAGGAATAATTCTAGGAACTCCGTGGTTTGTTTGGCACTGTGGGTACCGTAAATCGAGTCTTTATTGCAAAAGATAAACACACGAATAAACCGAAAGGATTCGCTTTTGTCACATTTGAACATCGCAGTCAAACAGAAACTGCAATACAGAAATTGAATGGATATAAGCTGGATCATCTCGTGCTGAAAGTCGAATGGACAAGGTTTGTTTGTATTATTCGTATAGCGTCAAATAAATTTATTTCATCAGTCATATCAGTGTATTGGTGTTATTGCAACTGGTGAGGGATAATAAATTTGAATCGATTAACTACTGATTAATCTTACACATTTTATGCTTAATGTACTGGATAACTTGTTTTTGCATTATTTACCTTTATGAGGAATTCTTCCACTATAAGTAATAGTCTTGTCAATTTCATTGCTAAGAAAATAAAGTCGATTTTCAGCTGAATGATATTTCCGATAAAAAGTTCATTAAATGAGTTTTTTTTTTTTATTTCAGGCCAAACAATTAACGATATTTTTCATCAGTTGCGTTATTTGAAGTTGAATGGATTTGGAATTCCCTGATTTTTGTTTCCGTTGTATTAACCTATGGTGATTGTAATTTGAATAAAGTACACAATGGCCTTGTTTTTTGTATGATTTTGACAAAAAGTTCCATCAATATTTACTTAAAGAATTATAATTATATAGAAGGAGACGAAACATTTTTTGAATCACCAATTTGTTATCCTTTGCAGGTTCTGTAACTTGAAATATGAAAAGAAAAAAGAAGAGAAGTGTAGATGGGTGTTTAATTTGCCTAGTTTTAACAAATTTCTGGTTCCAATATTTTTGAAGTAATAAACGTATCTAAATTATATCTTTCAGGACATACTACGACAGTGGAACTCGATTGTGTGGAATGGGTTTGCTTACAATTTTGAAGAAGCAACGTTTAAAAGAGAAAGAGCTGCGGATATTAGTTCTTGGTCTCGATAACGGTGGAAAAACTACTATCCTGAAAAAGCTAAATGGTGAAGAAATCAGTGAAATTGCACCAACTTTTGGTATGTTTAGCACGTACGAGTACCATAGGCTTTATGTTCAGCAACATTATATTAATCGTTTTTTGAGACGTTTTTTTTCCAAATTTATTTTTCAAATTTCTTCGAAATCTTCAAAAACTCCAGATTTCTCAGGTCATTTAATTAATCTATCTCTATTTCGCGATAACAGCACTAACCTCGCAAAAAAAAATTAAACCAGCAAACTGTTAGACTGTAAAACTAATCATTGATTGATCTTATTTATTACATCCTTTCTAAAACGCATGATTTATACCAATTCTTTTGCATAAATATCGAATCTCCTTTCACACATGCAAATTTGCGAGACATCACCACTGATATAGAACAATATTTCCATTTGCATATTCTGAGATTTCTTACAGGTTTTAATATTAAAACACTAAAATATAAAGATATGAAGTTGAACATGTGGGACGTTGGTGGACAAAAAAGTTTACGGTCATATTGGCGAAATTATTTCGAACAAACAGACGGTGTTATATGGGTTGTTGATTCAGCTGACATTGATAGAATGGATGATTGTAAACGTGAACTTAGTTCATTACTGGTGCGATTTTATGCCATTCATGCCATTTTCCAGCTAAATTTTGCGAAACCTTTACCTATACTTTCATCATCTTTTAAATAGAATAAGGTAATAAGATTTATTAGCAATGACATAATAGTTTTAGATTTATTCGCAGGAATATACTTCCAATTCTTATCCTTCGAGTATTGGTTTAATTTATTTCCATGTTGGTTATGCATGCGATGTAAGTTGGTAAAAGCACGTTTCTTTGAAAAAAATTTTGTTTTTAATTTAAAGAACTTTAAGGTGGAAGAAAGATTAGCCGGAGCATCGCTCTTGGTTCTTGCCAACAAACAAGATTTATCATCCAGTGCAAGCTCAGAAGAAATTGAACAAGTTAGAAGTCTTTCATTTTTCTCCTATGGAGCTTGTTCATCCGTCTTTGAAATATGATTTTGTTTTCAATATACAAGATTTACTAAAATATTTCGACATTACTGCGACTTCAGTGGTCAAAGGATTAAGTGTATCAATAAACACTGTTCCTTTTAATTAAGTCTCGCGAAATTAATTTGTAGAAAGATTAGTTGATCTAATGAAGTATATTTTGGTATTTATGTAATCTGATTCTCATTAGTTCAACATCATTTAAAATTACAGTTGTTGGGTTTGCGCAACTTAAAGTCACATCACTGGAACATATATGGATGCAGTGCATTTACTGGCGAAAATCTTCTTGAAGCAATTGACTGGTTATGTGCTGATATCTCTTGTCGGTTATTTACGTTCGATTAGTTTATTACGCAGAACATTTTTGGTTTTTTCTTGTTATTTGAAGTTGATGTAATATAAACGCTATTTGCTTTATGCTTTGTATGACTTTTCATGCTTTCTTTCCAACTGAGTCTTGACGGTTCTCATTAGGATAGAATAAGAACAATACATCAAAATGTGAAAAAGAATATGCTGAAAGATTAATTTATCACATTGAAATACAAGTTGATACGGTGCGAAAACCTTCTACACGAATATTTCCGAATTCGAAACTATCCTTGATTACCTGATTCCTGTTATTTTTTTAAAGCTTGAACTTCTCTATTTAACATATAAATTTTCCAGTACCGTTAAGATTTTTGTTATTAACATGAAATAAATCTCATTATCTTGAACTGGAACTTCTCCATTTTGATAAAAAGGACGACCAAAGACAAAGATATCATTTTTATTGTAATTTTTAGAATTAAGATCTAATATCATACATAAATTAATGTCTGCGTTATATTTATTTTTGAGAATTGTCTCGCAATTGATAAATTTCGAGCATGAATAATGTTACTGGCGAAATTCTATGGTGGTTTCAAGTACTAGCGGCCCAGGACGTGGAGTTGATAGAAAGGGTATCTTTTCTTCGTTTTCTTTTGTCCTCAGTGATGCTTTTGTTATTAAAACCTTGTTATTAAAATAAATTAAAATGAATTGCATACATTATTTGTATATGTTGGAGGTTTAACTCCACTATTACTCTAATATTTGGAAACATGGTGTGTACAGGTCGGATATTCATCTGTCGAGCAATGAATTGATACATTAATTACAATTTTGTTATGGAAGTGGCGAAATGAATAGAAAGTATGGTAAGTTGTGTGCTTTTATAACACCTTGACCCTTTTCAAATATGAACTTTCTGTTTTCTTTTTTTGTGTTTGCTTCTGTAGTTTAGTTAAGTATGGAATTAAGTTCATTATTACTTAGTTCTTGCACGGGAAAGTATAAAAACAAAGTGCAAAATATATGTACATCGCCTATGCAAGTTAAGATACATCATATTTTAAGTGATTCACCTTTAATGATGGGAGAAGTGATGTTTGGGGTCATTACAGTGTAATTAAAATAAGATTTATTACCTAAGAAAACTTGTCTATTTCGAAAGTACTAATTTATGGCGTATAAGAAATGAACATACCAATATTTCTTCAATATTACAGAATTCCGCTATTCATATAACATTAATATCAATAGTTTATAAAGACCAAATGCACAGCGTGCATATAAGGTAAGGGAAATTTTCCATCTCATTTGATCGGAATGAAAGTTTATAATACTGGTCATATTTCAATCAAACCATTCCATTTTATACGTTAATTCCCGTTGACCAGGAATAATTCGGCTCTTTATTTCGGTCCACATGCATTGTTATTTTTTAATTTGGATATGGTGTGTTACTAATTGCTTATGTAAAAAGCGAGTCAGAGATTGATTATTATTTGTATTTGTATGTTTTGCTTGTGATGGTTTTCTTTGCCAGCTATTGTTGGAGGTAGCTTATAAACTAGTTTTGTTGGGGCCAAGCTTATCTCATTACTTTTATATTTATGTTGCTTTTTATTAGCGGATGGATTAAAACAGATGGTTTTTTTATTCCGAAATTTCATGGCTTGTATGCACATATAGATTCGTATTTCACTGGATAATTATCCAGTGAAATAAAGTTACGGTTGTCAAATCCGTAGGTTTTTTAGTTTGCATATTTTCAGTAACATTGTTGCGTAATCCGTCGATCATTATCGGTACCATGCAATTTTCAAAATCATTTAAAAGTTTTGATTGATTTTCAGAAACTCATAGGTTCAAGAGATATGCACTTGGTTGTAGAAAAGTACCGAACCGAACATAACACCTCGGAACCACTTCAACCAATTTTGGTACCTTTCAAGCGATACAGCCGAGAATGCGTAGTTAGTGCAATAATGGAATTCATAAACTATAATTTCATAATGGATAGTCCTCCGAAATATCGCGACTTTGAAGGGGATATGATTCTTCTAGAAACACGAGAAGCTTTTGAGGTACTTTCTGAAATTTATACTCCTTATTCTACTGTATGATGAGCATAGAGTTAGTGATGAAGCTTCAGGGAAATGTTCTTTATGTAAGTCATAACTTTTTAAGAACTTCCTTAACCAATGGTTGATTTCCATTGCGTAGCTTTAGCTGGTTTTTTTGAAAATTAGCCTACTACATTTCAGTCAACAACACTATCTTGGACCAATGTAACGATAAGAAAATAACTGCTAGGTTTTGGATTTTAGCATTTTGAAATTCAAGAATAATGTGTTTTAAATATTGTGATTTAATTGTACTTATTTGCTTCAGGTTGCGTTGGATGATGTAATGCAGACACCACAAAAATTATTCGTAGTTCATATTGATGGTGTCTATAAATCAGAATCACCGAAGAAGGAAGACGCTGAAATGTCTATGATTGTTAGTTTTTTTAACGCTATATTCATTTTCTCCTATTGTGATGGGAGTGAACTATTCGAGGGAATAGAATTGTTTGGTTGTGATTATCTGAGAATATTAATTCAATTTAATTTCTCGTTCTTTAAAGTTTAATATGACTGTAAAGTAAATTTTTGCAGACAGAAGCTAGCTCTTTATGTGGTGCTTACAATATGAAAGATCTGGAGATCATTTTAATGGATCGGGTAATTTTGCTGAGTAATTTTCTACATTATTAATAACATTTTACTGAGCATATTCTTGCAAATCTGACATGTTATGAAAATAACAGTGGTTTAGGAAAGCCTCAAATCACGAAACATGATATTTCTCTAAGGGATGTTCAGTAAATCTAGGTTCGAAACAACACTACTCTTCTTATTGAATACATTTTCCAATTTGTAGTTACATCTGAGATAATAATGACAATATTGTTACTTTTGTTTTGGATACTGTTGGAAGTTAGCACCTTTCTATTTCATTTTTTAGTTTATGTTATAGATGGTAGAAGAAGTTAAGCAGGAAGTGAATAAACAAATTGTCAAACACCCAGTAATCCATAAAGTGGCAGAGTTCATGAATGGACTTAAGCAAAAAACATATGGAGCCAGCTGCAGTAAACAAAAATCTACTCAAAGTATGGTTATTGTCTATTTTTCTCATTTACAATTGAAATTGATATGTTACTCCATGTTAATCATGTTGGGTATGGCTCGTTTTTTTTTTCTTTGTAAGATAGTGCCTGATTTTATTTGACATATAAATACACAACGAACAGAAGGCGCACTACATTGGATATCCGATCTCCGCATAAATAGATCATCCCCCACGCATTTTTGTCAAATCATTAAATTCTTATTTCTAAATTTTTCATCCCTATTAAAATTTAGCATCTTCAACGGATGTATTTGATGCTACTGATTCATCGTCATCTACATTTTTGGAAGGTCAAAGTTCGTCAAGGATATCTGAAGATGATATTGCCGTCTTTCAGTTAATTGACGAAAGTCCAGTTTGGGATGTGAAAGCAATTTATGAAAGGAAAACAATATCCTTAACGAAGTGGGAAAGTCCAGTAAGTTTAGATTTAATGATTTTATAACAAGATGTTAAGTGAAAGATTGCAGTAGATTCGGAGTCAATGAAAAAGATTGGGTCATACTTTCTCCTAATCCTAGCAAGCTTTAATTGATTACTAGCAGTATGTTTATTTGTCATTAGAAAATTTAATGTTTTGTTCAAACTGACAGTTTTCACAAAAATGTTTCAGAGCTCATCTGATCTTGTGCAAACTCTAGGTGAAGGAGAAGGGATTTTTTCTAAACGATGGGTTCTTCACCGATTTCCTTGCAGAGGATGGCAAAATGTTTCGGTAATTTCTGCTTTTAATAATTTGAAAGCATTATTTAGGGCATAAATTCGTTGTGGACATACAGTCTTATCAGGAAGACTGCATTGTTCGTGGAATAAGTTTGATCATATTCTCATTGATCAAGAGGGTAGCTTTTGAACAGTGATATTTCAATCTTTAATCTTTTTTTCGTTTTTTAGAGCTTTCAGAGAATATAAAGTATTAAGAAATGTTTTTGATTTTGATACCGATTTTTATATCTGAATCGGTTAGCACATTCTTTCCAAGGATAATTATTCAAATTTATTTAAATTTGAGTTTGAAAATTCACTAAAAAATTCGCTGAATTTTAAATGGTCTATAATAACAAGCAGCGATTATGAAACCAGAAATGCTTTCAAGCTTTATTCTAAATTGTAACCTCTTCCCAGAATTCGGCTGAGATTTTTAATCATTTTCCATAATCGCTACTGAGATTATTGTTGAATTTCAAATTTTGAAAAAGGATTATAAGCAAGTACATATGAGCTGAAGCTTATAATAAGAAATGATTTGAGAAGCGAGAACTGTTAAACCAGAAATGGTTTCGAGCTTTATTCTAAGTTGTGGCCCCTTTTTTCAATTTATCGATTAGGTGATGATTCACGACTTATCACAGTTATTTAGTACATGTTTTTCATGTTAATTCAAACTTTAGGTAATTAATGAAAAGATGCCTGCTATGCTAGAAATATATCGTTCAAAGATGATTGTAACGAATTTGCCAGAAAAGGGCCAAATTGTTGATTTCACTGTGTGGGTGAAGTGCTCAGCTCCAACAGGATATTTCTGTGCATCTTGGCAGCTTTATAAAATGACTGAGAACGGTAGAGATTCGATTCCTGAGGGACCAAGGCTGACGTTTGAAATCTTTTTGAATCCATTCACTGATAAGAACGTCGATATCGAAAGGCCTACCGTTCCTAATGTATGTTTCCTTTTGCTACTGCTTTTTTTCTCTTATTACACCCAACTCTACTCCTGAATTAGAAACGGGAGACCGAACAAGTGGCAGTCCAAAATATCACTCTCATATCGATGCCAGCTATTGAATCAAAACTTAATTAACATTAAAAGGAATGATTAAGTTTTGGTAATTCATGCAAATTAATTCACTTAACCGTTGCGCGCTAATCCACGTTATTTTCAAATAATATTTTCAAGCCAAAAAAAAATGTTTGAATTAAACTTGAATATATCGCAGGAATTGGATTTGTTTTCATATTATGCAGCAGTCAAGGATGGAGAACAAAATGTCGATGTATGCTGTTTTTTTTTTCTTCTATTCGCTTTTATTCCAGTGTTCTGGGTAAATAGTGATCTTAATATAAGAAGATCCTCCGTTTGAAGACCCATTTTCTTAATTTTAATATGTTTAGTTGAACAAATATGCAAATTATGTAAATACACAAGTTTTGGGATCCAGAAATCTTAGATTTAGGCCTTCGTGAACCAGAGGGGTTTACACTGAATTTTGAAACATATTGAAATTAAAGAAGCTATCTTCAAACCGGAAACTTTTTGCATTGAGATTATTATTTAAAGATTATTTGGCTCTGAATTTCTTATTTAGAAGATTATTATTTAGTGCTGAATTTTAGGATACTCGAGAATTGGAAGAATTAACGAGCTCAGGATCTATTTCAGCATCTGACTATGAAGTAATTGATGGCGGAGATGCTGTGGACGATTCTGAAACGAAATAATAATCGAAATTAACAGAATCTAACAATCAGGATTTTATTTGTTTGGGTGGATGTAGTTGTATTTTTTATGAAATCTTTTAAATGAAACATGATATATATTATGTTGTAATTTATTGTCTTCGGAAAATATACAGTTTATTTTAATAACATATCAGCAGATTGCAGAAATTTTGAGTTTCTCAAATTTGAAATGGCGGAGTTCTAATTGTTCAGATTTTGAACGACTTGGTTGTAGTGTGCTATTTTTCATTTTAGATTTTATTTTAATCTAATTGTTTGTTATGGTTTGTGTTGTATGATTTCTTTTTGATTTTATCCACTCATTTTAAGAGTTTAGAAGATTCTAGTATTAATTACACTTAATTTTGGAATCTACCAATTCAACTTATTGTCCACCATTTGAGGGTCAGTCATATTTTACATTTGCAGTATATCTCACATATACTGAATGCACTGTGGTTGTGATTAACTTCCATGTTTTTTTCTGTATATTTCGCAGTGCTATAATTGACCTTCATAATGTATACTCTCTATATCCCGCTGTAGCATAATTGACCTCTGCTGTTTTCTGTGTATTTCATTGTGCTACAACTGACCTCCATACTGTATATATTGTATGTGCTGTGCTATATATGATTGATCTGTACATGATTGAGCATGTTGTTTCCTGTACATTTCGTTGCGGTATAACTAACTTCGAAGAAGTCTTTCTAGTTATCACTGTCAATCACTTTGTTGTATGTAATCCAGGATTTTTGGCGACCGGAATGTCTCATTCATTTTTTTAAATATGTATAAGCCTGATAGCCAAAACTGATTCAATTATTATTTCAGCTAGTTTGTTATGAATCCAGAATTTTCAGTAACCGGGACATCTCAATTATTTTTTAATCTCTACAAACATATTGGCTTGGAATAGTCGATAATCTCAAACCGATCATTTTTTAATCATATTGATTGGTTTGCGTGTTTTTCCATCAATGGTTGTACCGCATTGACTGTTGACTTTAAATTAATTTTCTCTGAATTTATTTATCTGGTAACATATGCGCATTGTAATCCAAATAAAGGGAGGCTGAAGATGGTGCGCCTTTGTAGAAGAGATTTGAGTATTCTCCAAGTGTACTTCCGGGATCATCTTTTTCAGCATCAAGCTGAATGATCGCTAATGTCATATCTCCCTCTCTTTTGCTGCAATTAACAGTCCAAAAAGCGATCTTAATTGAATGAGCATATCGTTACCAACACTGCTAATCAGACATTCTCTACGGACATGCAAAGAAGATTAATTATTTATCCGAAGTACCTTCTCAAATAATAGCGGTATGGCTTTGTTACATTTCTGCATATACGGAAACTGACAAAATCCTTCCCAGTCCTTCACCTTACTGCTGATCCTATATTCAGTAGGCTATTGGAATACACCAGTATTGGATTTGTTTTTTTATGCTAAAGAAGTATAATATAACAGTGAAGTAACTACCTGAAAATTTCGGTTACGGCTACAATGCAATGTGTGACAGTTGCGCGCAACATTGGTACTATGCAAAATTGACTTTGAGCCCAAACATACCCGCGTATACGATGTAACAATCGGTAGTATCCTGTTGTTGATTGATTTTTGTGTAATACTGAAAACTTCGACATGTTGTCGCAGATATTTTTGTAGTGATTACACGAAAAGGTCTCTTATCTAATTTCAGTTATTTTTCAACTAGTATAGATGGATGGGAATTAAAATATGATAGAATAATCTCAATTCAAGTTTGATGCATACGGATTTTGTGAGCCTTCTCGATGGTATGCGCATCTTCCAGAAGTACCATTTGATATAGGGATGTATCGAGAAGAGAGGAAGCACCAAAACCAGTGAGTGCTGTTACTCTGGAAAAAAGGAAAAAATAAATTTAAAATCTAAATCTATGTAAATGAGTTTAACTGCTAACTCAAAATTTTAATTAAATTGTAAAAAGGATACGAAATCTGAAAAGAATTGTTTGCAATGTTGTTGATTTAGCAGAATGAATATTTTAACCTCGAATCGACGAAAATAATATTTAAATCAAGACGAGCTCGGAACATGAATGTTGAGGAGGAAAGTTTTAATTCAGTAATACCACTTCGTGTAAGCATATATCCAACGGCTAATAAGCCCATATTTATAATCCTTTCACCATCATGACAAATTTTCGAATAACCCCAACAACTGATTGTCTACAAAAAATGGTAGTTAATTATTGTAGCGTTAATGAAAACTAAATTTTTGGTTTAAATTGCAAAAGCGATAAAGTATGAATAGATATGAAGAGAAAGTATGAATAAATAGTATGAACTTATTCAGTTTGAATGAATTGATTAAATTTTATAAGATGAATGATTGTACAGTGTATTATTGTATTTCCATTGTTTATTGTATACTTATGGAAAAACAGAAGGTGACGATAATTTAAAGTAATTTAAGAAATTATTTTAAAAATTTGAATAGCTTAAAAAATAATGCTCCGGAACATATTAACATTTTTAAATTAACCAGCTATGAAAATTAGTAAGTTGAGCACGAAATTTAATGAAATATGAGATTTCAATATAGTAATAATTGACAGTGAAATGAATTAATCGGAAAGGATTTCCCAGAAACCTTATATCCGTTATAAATTATTCCAGCATTTCGTTTGGGTAAAACACATTTTAGTCGAATGAAAAACATGCGCTCAATTTCGTTATTATATGATTGATTGTTATTGTCATTGCTATTGGTTGCAAATTGCGTAGCACAGTTGAAATCGGTATTGGATAGAATGTACCGTAATTCCGGTTCGTCATCGCGATGAAGGAAATCGAATATCGATGAACCAATTAATTCTACCTTTAAAAAAAACAAAAGAATGATAAACATATGAAACTTCGAACTTTTAAAGCTTTGAAATTTGCAAAAAAATAAAATTTTCTTTTACTAGTCAAAATACCTGAAAGTGTTAAAATTCTAGTTAATATTAACAGTTCAATTTTATATTTTATCATGAATTTTAAAATATAAGAATCAGATTAATTTGTATGTGTATTTTTCTGAATACAAAAACAGAATATGATTCAACGATTTTTCAAACTAATAACAAATAAGTTGAAGTATACGATTGTAATTTTTAATTAGTACTCTATTATTGTATTGGTCTAGAAGGCTCTATCAGCTTATACATCAAAGTAATTTGGATTCGGATATCCTTTTCAAAGTATGCTCATAATGATCCAAGATTATTATTAATCTTGGATCATTATGAGTATACTTTGAAAAGGATATCCGAATCCAAATTACTTTCGATATTCAAATATTTTTTCCACTATCTTTTGCTTATTATTATAATTGCTAGTATGATGGAATTTTTACAAGATTTAAAATTAGCAAATATCAAATTTTAATTAATTAATTGCTTTTTCTTTGTATGCATAGATACCTGTGAAAGTCCTAAATGGACAGAAGCAGTCTCTGACACATACATCATTTTACCAGAGGCATCAAGAATAAGTACAAAACCATCCAAAGTTTGAAGTAAAAATGAGCCCATTGCCATTTTTTCAATCTGTTCACAATTGTTTCGTGGTGGAAATACATTTCGCAGTGCCAAATATGCAGATGTTAGACGTACGATAGATGCCTGTCAAGTGGCAAAATTCAAAATGATTCAACAATTTATCTTTTCTTCTCATATTCATTAAATTTTCACATCAAATTTTGATTTTTTTTTTTGTATAAAATTTGTTCCTTATTTCCCAAGTAAATTATTCCAGTAATTTGTATTTGAAAAATTATATTGAAATACTTAAAATATTGAATACTTAAAAAGGATATTACTTCATATTATGCATACCATCCAATTTATATTATTATTTAATTCTCACCTTATCAAGTTGAAACGTTATAGCAGCAGCAAGCGGTAAACATTGTGCTAATGATTCCAATTCTTTATTTTCCAAATCTCGTCGATTTCGAGCGCTCATTCTTAAAAATAATTTACTCAAAGATAAAGAATGATAACGATAGAATGGAATAAACTGATAAAACACTGTTTATTTGATAATGGCAAGACAAGCGAATAATAGGCTCTTGAATAATATCACAACAACTTTAAAGCCATTGAAAAGATTAAAATAAACAGTTTCACAACAGACTGATAGGATTTCAGCTGAATTCTACTATGAGATTGATACCGATTGGATTTTGATATCAAATTATTTATATTGTCGATAGAAAAATAAGTGATACTATGTCAAAATTTGTTCAATCTATCCAAAAAAGATCAGTGGAAAGATGAAACTCACGAAATTTTAAAATAATTTGTTAACTAAATTTCAATTAAGTCAGTACTTAAACATTAAGTCAGTGAATAAAAAATTTTCAAATTTGACAAAGATAAAGAAAAGCTGAAATATAAATCGTAACAAGAAAGACAGTAAAAAAAAGTACCATCAAATAAAATTATTACAGTATATATTTTTGCTCAATTCAAGTATGCTCAACAAAAATTTTTAACCGATTGAGGATTTAAAATGATCATGGCGAAATATGTTTGCTGATTTCTGGAAGTAAATGATGTCAAATAGTTTTGTTTAACTTACTTTTTCAATTTAATCCACTAATCTATTCATCAATCTATTTGATGATTTTACAAATTTCAATGGTACTATAAAAATTCGAAAGATTTGCAAAAGTCAAAAAAAAAAAACGCAGTAGATTTAAATAAATGCAAGGAATGAAATTGGAAAAGATAAAAGGGAAATTGAGTTTTAAATATGATCGTGAGAATGTTTACTGCATATAAAAACTTTTCACTTTTTTTTTTCTTTTTTTGTTCATCTAAATGGAATAATAATTATGGTTGCATTGCAAACTAATTCACATTTAGGGAAAAGAAAAAATGAGAATTTTTTCCTCACAAATCATCTGAAATATACACAGTACCATCAAATTGGTAATTTACAATATTTGTAATTTCATTTATGATATCAAAGTTTTTTTTTTTTTTTTAAATCAACAAATCCTTCTAAATGTACGACCAATTTTCATTTTAGCAATAATAGAGAAGTAACACTTTCTTCTGGAATATGTTTAATTTGCATATCCTCTCTCCGTAGTTTTATTTCATCCTGAAGACTGAGGCGATTCATAAATGGATGGAATCCAGGGTAATTCCGGTACCATTTTATTTATTTTTACTATCTGACATTTATTTGCAGTGTTCGCACTTACTAACTGGATTGTACACATTGTATCATAATGCTGCCTTCTTTCTGAATTAGATAAATTCGGATAAAACTTACTTAACTAAAGAGGAGTAAATATTGATTCATATTTCATTTTATTTATTTTTTCTACTTTATACACCACTCTATTATCATAAAATATGACAATTTCTTTTTATTATGATATTTTTTATTCGGAAGAGCAGCTATATGTTTACCATTTAGCAATATTTTTCTTCTTGATGAAAATTATAAACTTATAGAAATATAAAAAATAATTGCAGTACAAGATTATTTGTGACTGTAACAGCCGGAAGATGTTTACTAAGATTAAAAAATTTCGTATTTTAGCACGGCAATTGTTACGCAATTCAGCAATTTAGTCTTCATTATTGGATGTGAATTTGTAAATCTTATGGATTCCAGAAATCTTGTCAAACCTGAACTCCAATTTAAGAATTGTTTACAAGCAGGAAAGTACCAATAATTCTCTAATTTCCTGCTTATAGACAGTCCTTAAATTAAAATGAAAAGATAGATATTAAAGTGCGAGAATAGAAAAATCACAGCGATAAGGATCAACTGATATCATAAAGCACTATCTAGAATAGAGCCTTAATTTTTTGCTCAATTAGCAGGAATTACATCACAATTCGAAAGAAATCTTAAAATATTATTGGGATCTCGAGGAATTCTTCATCGATAGAATCCGTTTCAAGTTTGCTGCAAGCGCAATGGATGCTGCTCGATAGAGTTCAGTAGAAGAAAATGAAAGAAGAGTTCTTTGCCAGTCGTCCGGATTACCACCATATATTTCTGCATATGCATAACCAACTGTTGTGGCAAATGCATCATTTGCATATTCTTTTGGTGTATGTTTCTGCAAAAAAAAATTAAGAAAAGCTATGTGAAAGTAACTAAATAAGTAAGTAGCAACTTTTTTATTCTTCCCATTCTCTTAGTTTATTGCTTCCATTTTTGTATAAGGATGAAGAAAAACTCAGTGAAAAAAACTCCAAAACATCTTCTTCTTATCACTGCAAATGCAAGAAATGCCCGAATACAATACTAGAATGTATTTTTATAGCATTCAAAATATGAAATGTTACATCAAAATTGAAGAGGGAAAAGAAATTAATATAGTCAATTCAAATGTTCTAAAAAATCCCAACAATACCTGAAGTGTAGCAATTACATCAGCATCAACCTGTGTTGCTTGTATAAATACACTAACTTCAATGTCTCCTTTCTATAAGAAAACAGTTATTATAGAAAGTCTGTTTTAAAGAAATAACATTCGGATATGGCTCAACAAAATTTTATTAAAAAATTCGTTTTCAACTTGCGAAGAAACTAACTCAATATGGGAAAACATCTAACTGAAACTAAAAAAAGCATAACACACCTGAGCCAGTAATAGAGCAGTATCAAACCAACAATGATCGACTTGATATAAAAATGGCTGTACAATGAATACAGTTGTTTCTGGGCCGGCAGTATTATTGTTTCGTAAATTGGCCAGACATTCCTTTACTTTCTATAAAATGTAATTTACGATTTATTAGCATTCCATAAAAATCACTCAGAAATATATAAGTAAACAAAAAGTCAGCAGTATAGTATATTATAAATTAATGAGAGTACAAATGAAAATCAAAATAGTAAATACGTAAATAAATAAAGCAAAATAAACTTAACATAAAGTTAACAAATTACAAGCATGCTGTGCAAGATGCCTTATAGACACATTATTATAAGTGAGCAATCTTTTCTAAACAACCTCATTAACCTGAATAATATAATAGCTACAGTGAAAAATTCTATAGGATTTCAACAGCAAAACTTCAGCAGTTTCTTATTTAATCATCTATAGATTTTTATTCCTTAATATTTAATCATCTATAGATTTTTTACTCCTTAATATTTAATCATCTATAGATTTTTTATTCCTTATTTGCTTTAATTTTTGATAAAATAAGCACAGAAGGGTTTAAAATTTTTTCAACAAAGACATCGATGATTAACCTTCCAAGCTGAATTATATCCAACAATCTGAATATTAGTAGAAAGTTCTGTTTCTGCAGGTATTTCGTTAAATATTATTTCACTAAATGTCTGACGTATGCCATGCTTTACAGCATCGACAATCTGATTACTAGCATAGCATAGTATGGTTGCATGCAGCACATCGCTACCATTCAGAAAATCTCGCATTCCCGGATCTAGTACTGTCAATACCGAATCCATTCCCATCTAAAATTTTATCGTATTTATTCAATTCAATTTAATGCTATTCATCGCATTCAACAAAGATAAATCAGCATAAGAGTAATAACTTCGATAAAAACGATTCAAAGCAAGCATAGTGTGTCACTTCTAGCTATTTGAATAGAATAAATTGCTCAGGGGATTGTATTTGCAATACCTCCGGATGAGCTTATATCTTAGTAAAATGACCTATCTCCTCTTAATAAGATCTTAATTGTATATCCTTTTGCGCTCATGTTTGAATCCGCTATTACATTTCATTTTACTTTCAAATATCAACCTTAGCTTTGTTAGCCATTTTAGATAAAAATTCCGATTGCTGCACAGTTTGTTGAAACCAATGCAGTACGCCTATTCCTTTCGATTCATCATTTATTTCTGATATCGTTTGTTCCGTTTCCTGTGCATTCATTGGAATCATCATTTGCGTAGGTAATGAGACCATCGGTGGCGGTAATGCTGTTGAAGATACTGTTTGGTGAACAATTATCGGTACATCTGCAGTAACAGCATGAATCTCTGGTGAGACTGCCATCGGAGATTGTTCCACAACAGGAATCGCAGAAGATGAAGTAAGAGAGACGGATGGAGTTGGTGATACTACCAGTGCTGATGATACCGAGAGCTGCATCGATGGCAGTGTAGGGGTAGAGGGCGGAGGAGGGAAGGAAGACGGAGGAAGAGGTGGAAATGTGATTGATGATATTCCGGAATTTGTCATGGTGCAAGGAAGAGTTGTTGCAAGTGGCTCTAATGGCGGATGTAATTGTGGTGGTACTGGTGGAATAAATATTGTTTCTTTTTGCTGCATGTAAAATGATGGTAACTCTGTCGGTGGTGGCGGAAAATTGCCTGAAATAATTAAAGCGCTTATAGCTTTAATTAGCATAATATTTGAAAATCTTAATTATCATTCTTTAAAATTACAACGGAAGACTTTTGTCCAAACCCTTATTGAAATCTGAAAATAATCCCATCACTGATTCCTCTTTCACTGATTCACTCAAGCAACGAGTCCAGGGATCTAAAAGGGGTGATATTTAAGGACTTTTAAAAATATCATATTGCTTCCGGAATTGGTAATCGACATGTAAACTGCAAATGGAACTTATAAATGTGTTCTCAAGATTCTAATACAAGAAAATTTTAGCACAAACTCTATCAGTCCACTTCCGAATATCTTAAATTCTTACAGTCTTTGGTAATATTGAGAATGTAATCTAATCACCAACCTTCCAGTCCATCAGGAGTTGAACTCATTCTGATAATTTTACATAAGAAAGTAGCCTTTCGAATTGCACAACAGCTTTCTTTTTATAAAGATATCAATTCTTTTCCTTAATTTAACGTCAAATAATTTTTTTTTTATTCAATGAAGCAAATATTTCCAAACTAAGACACTAAGCTAAATCAAAGCAATAGTCGCAAGAAATGTCTACGCTCATAGCAATGACATGAAGTAGTTTCTTGGTTAGGATCATGTACCTATCTAAATTTTGTTGAGCCCAAATAAATTCTAATATGCTCAATATTACAACAAAAGAAGTATTTATCAAATAATTCTATTTGGAATTATTTTCACCGATAATGCTATATCTAGAAAATTCAAACACAAAATTACTTTTATGTCAAAATTAATACAAATAATGATGAGACAAATAAATGCTAGGATAGAAATACAATCTATCAAGTTTCAAACTGATAATAAATAAAAATTAAATGGCTTGCAATTGAATGATTGAAATGAAGTATTAAAAATAGAAATTTTATACAAAGATATACAAAGAATAATTTATAGAAAGAATAATAGCGAATAATTTTATACAAGTGACAGAGATAATAAGTTAAAATAAGAAACTACATACATTACAAAATGAACATAAATCCAAATGAACATATTTAGAGAATGATGTTTTGACGAAGTTAATGCGACGAAGTCTCAAATACCTCAAATGAAAAACTTTTTTAAAAATAAAACTTAAAAAAAACAAAAAAAATTGAAAAAATTCAAGACATAGCAACAACATAAAAACAAAAAAGGAAACTTGAAGCAATTACATTCTGATTCTACAGAAAGTGAAAATTTAAAAGATCCCTAAAATCGAAAATTCCACAAACTCGAAAATATACAAAGTTTAAGGCAACGCAATATGTTAATGTTAATAAGTCTAATTCCTTTGCAATTTAAAAGCATACAATACATAAAACTCCGAAAATATAAAAGCACTGGAATTTTGCAAAAAATGAAAGAATATATAAAAAAGCCGCGGATAAGATAAGAAATGAAAGAAAGTTTAGATAATCGTGAGTAACGATAAAATGTACGATTTTCAATCAAAAATATGAAGTTATACATTCACTACCAACTTCAAAATGTGCTAATCATGTGAAAACCGACGACGGTACGATACCCTCCTTGGATGCCAAGCCGGGTGCAAGATTGGCATTCGCGAGAAAATCTAACGGAAATTCCACAAGATTACCAACCAAATCTCGAAGATATTCCTCAGCTACTTGTGGCACAGTTTCGCTTAGCGGTATTTTTGAAACATGCATTTGTACTTCTATGAAATCTTTCAGCTTATCTGTTGGAATAACGTTGAAAACCTGTGAAATTTTAAAATCTTTTAGATGAAATCAACATGTATTACAAATAATAAACGTAATAAAAATTAGTTTAGAGTGAGTCACTGGAGAACATCAGCGTGTTTTTATAATTTTACAACTATCGTAATATCGAAAATGAGGACAGCAGTGATTTAAATTTAAGCAATTCAAAATGTTCTTATGATAAAATATTCGTACTTTTTCAAATATTTCCGTATTCTTTTTTGCAATAGCTCCCCAAATGCCAATGAAAAACGAATCAGCAACGGGATCATCCACATCAATTTCCTGTTTCGGCGGTTTTCTTTTTTGCTCCGGCAATAAACCGAGATGCTCCTACAGAATTAACTGAGGTGTTTTGTATTTATTCCTTTCAAAAGACTATGAGAAGCTCAGCAACAAAAGAATTTGGTTCTAAAGTGAGTGATAAAGTTGCTCTATTTTATCGCCAATATTCTGACAATACAATACACCTTTTAATTATATATAAAGAAAAATTCTGAACTGAATCAGCTAAAAATTATCTGTATAAAGTTCTAACAACTAATACATCTTCATTCTTCATATATTTAAAGACCATAAAAAAGCCAAATATGTATGGGTGCCAAAACATTTATAACCGCCAAAAGCTAACCCATTCAGTTCACCTAGCTATGGATGAATTAAATGAATTGGTTTTAGAAATCATAATATACTACAATTAGAAGAATCAATTTAATTGTCTTTGAAAATTAACGACATTTTTTTCATTTTGCGGAATAAAAAAATGAGAAAATTGATAACGAACCATCATAAGTGCTTTCCGCAAAGTGAAAGCAAATTTGCCCGCATCGTATGATTTCCCATCCATTCGAGATGACACATTTTCGCAATCTTTAATAAGAATGCAAACCTGTTTGAAAAATACAGAATTAGCAAGTGAAAGTTCGCAATCACTATATATTAAGAAATTAATTTACATAATCAGCGCATTCATATAACTTATGCAACATCAATTATCGCCAGATTTTAGGAATTTAAAAATTAAATTTCAGAGTTATGTGGTTGTCTGTGAATTATGCTCGAGTAAAATTAGATCAACAAGATGGCATACTGAGGTCATATAACAAATATGATTGCTTCGGTAATTTCACCACTGTCATATTTACCTTAATATTTTTATCTTAGAGCGACAAAAAAGTTAATAAGACACTTTCGGTTGTCTTCTTTTAGTCCTCTTAGTCATTAATACCTTCCTAATAAAAATTATTAAAAGCGCTTCAATTTAAATTTGCATTATTTTGCCACAATAGTCTCTAAGGATTTAAATAAGCAATATGAGAGAAGTGTGATTATTACCTCCGAATCTCGATTACCAATTTGTGAACGATCGTTTATATTTGCTGATCCAATAATCACATATCGGTCATCCACAATCATTAATTTACAGTGAATGTAAATTAGTTCTGTTAGCTGGAAAAAGACTTATTTTTTTCAGTAGAATTCAGCAAACTTATTTTGGAGCATTCAATGCTCTCCCCATTAATTTTTATTTAAAAAAGACTTCAAATTGCAGAGAACAAAGTACATAAATGTATCAAATCATCATTTGCACTTTCGATGCGACGCTATTAATGTAATGTTATATTGAAGCATAGATATATTCTATATAACCAAGAAAATCAACCAAAAACGTTTCTTTTTCTCTTTGGATATATAAGAATCAATTACTGACAGACGATATATTCCTACGAATCAATTACTGACAGACGATATAAAGCTTCTTTCTTTTATGAAAACTTCATCCTAACCAATTTTCCAGACAGGACTTCGTAAGTACGTAAGGAACCGATATGAATATATTCCATTGGATCGGGCATAAATCTTTTGAGACTTTCAATCAATGAACCCGGTCCTCGGGAGAGTGATTTATAAGTCCAATGTAAAACAGTCTGTATTGCTAAACTATCTGGTGCACCAATGTCACCTTCAAAACCAGGAAGCAGCGGCAGCATTATATATACCCGAAACTTCGCTTTTTCACTGAAATCAATGTTCTTCAACCATACTGTAATCTAATTAAAAAGCATTCAAAAAAATTGAAATCTGCCTGATTTAAATCAAATTTAAGTTTGAAATTAACAAAATGTGAAATTTCTATTACTAACCGATAGGCTCGTTTGATTCGTTCGCAAAGTACTTTACAAATTTCGTTTCCCACATCGGCGCTATCAATAATGGAAACGAAAAATTGATTTTCAATATAAATATAATGTTTAGCGTTTGCAATAAGAGAAACGTATGCCTATAAGATGCAATTGATTGCAAAGATTTCACACCCTTAAAAATATCACTACTCTAAGCTCATGCACAGATTAAAATTTATATGCTGTTTTCTCATTTATCATTTTACCGCATTATATAATTAATTTTCACGTTTAAAACTTTTTTAATATTTCACTAATTTCTCACAGACAGAAAAAAGCACCATTTTGCACTGTTACGAGCAAAACTGTATAGTCGTTACATTCAGTCTTGAAAAAAAGGAAAAATCCGCTAATAATGAATAATGATAATGACCTGTTGAATGCTGTCTTCTGTAGTGTTAGTAAGTGACGACCATTTTGAAACTGAGCGTAAAACTTGCACATCAGCCAGATTACTATACGTTTCTAAGAAACGTGGTACTTTAATAGTATCATAAGATCTGGGTAACAAAAACGGATATTCCTTCAACTCTTTCGACTTTTCCGTCTGTAAAATAACAGTTGAGATGCCTCAATAAGTGCTGAAAGTTTTGAAAATGTTTTTGAGTCTAATTTTTTCCAAAAAAAAACTAAAAATTAAACAGAACTGATTGATCAATATGTCAATACCTAAAGTCGAAAAAAAGATACCTTAGTTGCATTCCATCTTTGAATAAAGTGTCGAGCAATATCACGTGCAGCACTGCCATATGTACATGCATGAATATCGTGCCAAGGCATCCGCGGAGTTATATTTCTGTCGATAAAATCTGAAAAATTAACAACAGGTTTAAAATGCATACGATTTTGTGTCTTTAAATGTCCATTAAAATTAAATATAAGCCAAATGAACAATATTCACCAATTGCCAAATAAACCATAAATATACAGCAACATGCATTTAGTGATTCAATAATTGCTTAGTTAGTGAGTGATTTAATAATTCAAAAATCAGTAATTTAGTAGTACATCAATTAAAAATCCAGCAATATGTCAATTTCCACGTTGTTTACAACTGTTTACAAGTTATATCTGGTTTCAACTAGCAAATCAAATTTTTTGAATCTGATGCGAGAATCACTCTAGAAATTCAATTGAAATATTCCGTCATGATAGGCAGCAACAATTTAACTAATTGATCGATTTGGCGACTCGCATCTATGAATTTATTCACAGTTAATTTCGGTTAATTTCGGCGTATGGTTGCACATCATCAATAATCTTTCTTAGGAAATTATATGAAAGAAAATAAATGTAAACTTTAATTTTTTAAATAATTACTTTGAACATAATAAAATATCAACATACCGTGGAATGGCATATCGAGCTCAACAAAATCTTTATGGATAAAATTTGCATAATCTTTCCCAATCCACAATTTTCCAGCACCTGCCATATGTTCTTCCATAGCACGAATTTTCTCATCCTGATCGCGAAGTTCCATATATCTGGAAATGTCATTATTTTGTGCATAATTTTCAAATGATAAATTTATAATTAACTAGAAACATCAAATAATTTATGTTTCAAAATTTTCTCAGGTTTTAAAAATGAGCTATGATACTAATCTTCGAATACACATAAAATGTTGCATTAACCCATATATTTTCAATAAATTACAACTATCTCGACTTAAAACTATCTTAAAAATTACCTAAGATCATATCGAGTAGTTTCCTGTTTAACTTTTTGCCAGTGCTTCTTGGCTGATGGTTTTAAGCTATGCGCTACTTTCGAGAATATCTTTCGCTGTGGTGGAGGTGTTGATTTCTTCTCAGCACAGTGCTTCGCCTCTTTTGCTTTTCCACTATGTACATAAGCCTGAGAAAAAAACTTCATCTTTATATTCCAGTATATACATATATATAATTAAAACTCAATTAATGCTTGATCTTAAGTGAAGCTTACGTAAATCTTTACTTATACATATTTACATCTTTTTAGCGAAACTTATATGTGGATTAAAAATGTTTGCTTCTTTCGAGGGACCTACATAATGTTAAAATATGTGACAAATTAAACTAATTATTTCCCATTTTCAAGCTTTATTTGAGACATCTAACTACAAGCTAACATGATAATAGAACACGCGCAAAGTGAAGAGACATATCAAAATGGAAGCTATGTGTGATGTCACTTTTCTTCCTCAAAACTTGAAATTAAAATATTTCCAAGAAAGTACCTTATATTTATCCAAAGCGTCATCGATATACATTTTTTCAGCATTTATATTTAGCATTTCAATCGGTGGTGCAGCAGATATCGATTTCGACTTCATCACAGTTCGTGTATGTTTAACTACTGATAGAATATTTTGTTCTGTTGACTTCTGTGGTATTGTATGGTCTCCTAAACATTTAGCAGTAAATTAGTCTGTCGTTTCAGCAAGTAATCATTTATTTAATCAAAATTTACATCAGTGCATCCTCACTGCTCCATTAATTTTGTTTAGTATCTATTAACTTATGAAAAAGATAGTTTGCGCTAATAAAGCCTGTCAAAAAAACTGAACCTGAATTAACGTCAGTTCAGCTTAATGTTCAACATAAAAATAAAAATTCCTACTTATATTGAAGACGTGAAAATCTTGAAAAACTGAGTAAAAATCAAGAAAGATTTTTAGAAACAAAATTGAAAAAAATCAATAGTAAGATAAATGCTTTTATAGCAAATACCATAAAAAATCTATAAAGCACAATAAACATTGCAGAGGAATATTGGCATAGTAACTGATAAAAGAGAAGAAATTAGGTCTTCACTTGACCAGTTGCTTTCTTCATTCATTCTGTTCGCATAAAATAATGTATTTACCTACACTACTTTGATCTTTCTTGAGCTGTTTTCGTTTAGCAAAAGTTGAACATCTTTGCGCACTGTTTGGTTTGGCGTTTTTGTCATTTCCATCTTCTTCATTCCCTAAATTGTCTGATCTATCAACTTCATCGTACCCGACATTTTTTTTTCTTATTTCTTCATCTTCCTCTAGTCCAATGGGTGACAGTATTCCAGCTGCTGTTACAATCTGCCTAACACTTTTCACCTGTAATGAAAACCCTTCATTTCCTGCACCTTTTGGAAAATTCATTTTACAGCTAAATTACTAAACTTGATAGATTTTGTATTCTCTTTAATTTGTTCATGTCTTAAAAATAGCATCTACAAATTACGTATCTACCTACCCTTAAGCATTAAAGCCATAAGATTCATATATAGGATGTCGACAACATCTGCTCAAATCTCAGAAACTGCTAAACAATAGTGATTCATTCAGTCTTGGGTAGCAATTTTTAGCTCCGAAATGATTAAAGTTAAATTCGAATATCTTAACTAACAAATTATTCACAATTGAAAAAGTTAAAATCTTCTCTTTGATCATCTGAACGTTTCACCTAGAAATGAGAGCTCAGGAACTATAAGCTTCAATTTTTTTTTAAATTGCTGCAAACAGAAAAAAAACTAAAACTAAAACGAACCACGGAAAAGTCACCACCTACACAGATATTATGCTGTTCGGGTATTTTCACTGAACCGCAATCAGCTAATTTATGGCGGCAGTCATCCCAACGACCGAAGCACAAATCGACACCGCCAACAAATGCTATCAGCTGATCAATAACAATTAGCTTTTCGTGATGAGTCCAGAAAAATGTACCCGATGAAAGATAATGATCCGGATGGCGAAGCACCTAAATACCAAAACAATATAACTGATTTTTTTAAGACTAACTCTTTCTAAATGTATCTTTACAATTGATGAGTGCAAAACTCTCGCTTTTTATTTCCATTTTTCCTAGTATATAAATAAAATGTGAAAGTAAACTGAATAACATCCATGAAAATCCATCTAAAGATATCATAAAATAGCACCTAATAAAAGCCTGCAACTATTTAATGAAATTTTATTTAATAAAATGGTTAATTTTACACCTTAATATTTTTATGAAGCGTTTGCAGAGTTCGTTTAGTGTATATGCTATTAATCCCAAGAGCCATTTCCATCTCCTTGTACAAGAGAACAAATATTTTGATTCCTTGTTCTGCCTTCCTCTAAAATTATAACAATCGCAAAAATCTACCAAAAAATATTGCGCAATAATAAAGCCAAAATAGGTCTTCTTCACCGTCGTAAAAATAACAATACAATTCGGCAATTTTAAACTATTTAATGAGTTCTCAATGTATTAACATTCTGAAACTTTAATTAAAAATATAGGATTGAGGGAATAACTTCTCCTTCTTATTTATCATTCAATCTCTAATACAACAAAATCATACAAATCAACCTTTAAAATTTCATCCAGCCTCCAACGGTTTCCTTCCACTGGTGGCCTTTTCATAAAAATTTCTGGTGATAACCACCAGCCTGCAATGAAAATTTCCTCACGTGCTAATTCCATCATATTCGCTGCATGTTCCATAAACGATCGTCCATCTACAAACCTACAAAAAGGGAAATCATATTTAAAAAAAATCTATTAATAATTAATCGACAATTAGTAATATATTTTATTTCATTGACACAAAAAAGAAAGAAATCTTGGCGAACCATTGAACACTTTGTGCACGTCGTACAGGAAATGTTGACCCATAAGGATGATTTTCTAGCCAGATCCTTCCGATACCATTCATTGATTCTAGTATTGCTGCCTTCCATTGTATCGCATCCAATTCTGTACGACATTTCAATACCAACACACTAAGTTGGAATTTGAAATTAAATTAAATAAGACAGGCAACAACAACAGCATTTCAAAGAGCACATCATCATTATCATTGACATGCCGGCTGTCTGTATCTTACATTAAAAACATTATTTCATGCTACATCATGTAGCAAAAAAGACAATTTTAACTATCAAGGACAACGATTCAATCATTCACTAGTCATCACAAGCACCAGTTTCATCATTTCATATGCTGACGATTTCAGAATTTTTACTGCTCTTGAAACTATGTCATGAGTGAGAGAGCGAACTCACTGTTGCTGATTGCTGATAACTAAACCATTTGGCATTCCTTCTGTTTCGCTACTTCCAGCAGAAACGTCGAAATCTCGATCAAATAAAAGAACAAAACGCATTTGTTCGTTTTTTGGATTCATATAACAAACAGATGAATCCTGAATTAACCGTGATATAGGTTAAAAACGTGGTTTATTATCTACTTTTCGCCTCATTTTTCTTTTGAAGCAGAAAAAAAGAAAATTGAAATAATCATGAAGTTACTTTTAATATAAGCCACCGTTTCGACCATCTTAGACAATAACGCACACAACACTGCTTCCAACCGATAAAAACTCTGCTACCACCGGGACGTTTTTTTACAAAACCTTCGCAGTATTTACCACCCAGTTCTGTTATGAATGAAAAGCGCGATACTTCCAAAAATTCTGCCTGTTAAAAAAAATCTTAATAATTACGACATATCTTTCTTGATTTCGTAAATTTGTATTATGCTATATATCCAGTTAGAATATTTTAATTTACGAAAGTCTAGGATTAAAAAATATAGATTTCGAGATCTTCACAGGAAAACAGCAGCCAGAAATTTCATGGTACTAGGTTTCAAATAATTTGAAAAATTGTGGTGGTATAAAATTTAGTGTTGAACTGAAAATCAAACGATGTTAGAGTTTAGGTTTTGATTTTCAAAGCATTTTTTTTTTAAATAAACAAACTGTTTCATGGTGATTTCTGTTCACAGGTATATGCAGTACTGCCTGAAGCCACTTCTCCAATCTTTGCTGAAAAGTGAGAGCATAAAAGAGCTAGAAAAATAAAGAAACTATGTGGAAAAATTTTCACCATATTAACGAGTAGCTAACAGTAAAATCAACTTACTTCGACTACTAGAAGAATGAAGCAAAAGGTCACGCACCAAACAGCTGAAATAGCAAACTGTCAGGAAGAGGTTTGCAATTGTCAGCTGTTTTTTCGGTCATACTTGACCTGCGTTTCACTGAATACCCAACTGATCCTGATCTTATTACTAAACTGACTATATACTTCCAAAAAAAGAACAATTAAAATAAGAGAATCAAATAATCAGCAATAATGAATCTACTATTAACATACTCGACGTTCGTTTGGATCAATAATCGCATCAGGAACGAAACCAAGTGATGGTAGCTGATGCCGCTTCACTTCGCTTAATCGTATATTTTTTTGCCCCAAAAGATTCTCTTTTGCTGGCAGTAAAACTAAAAAATTCAAAATTGTTAAAAATTGTCAGTAAGCAGCAGAATCAAACATAATGACATATCTGATCTGTAATTATCACTATAACTATCCTGTACTGATTTAGCGCAATATTTTCTTTAACAAAAAACGGATTTCATGCCCAATACAACAAAACTATTCTTCCAAAAAAATATACAAATCGTGTAGTCAAATTGTTTCAACGCCTCTATTCAATGGTTAAAGGATGCTGACGCTTAGACAATACAGACTTTAACAGACTTTATCAGTTCTTTAATCCTATTATTCAAAATTGAATTTAATTTCTAGCTAAATCCAATTTTAAGTAATAAGACTAAGCAAATGAATATAAATAGCACTGTCAAAAGTGAACTAAATGAACCATTCGGCGTAGAAATTTCAGCAGTTTCGGTAGAATCAATAATAGCCAGTTGTTGCTCAACATTAGTCTTTTTTTCTGTAGCACCACTTTGATAGATACTATCAAGATCATTAGATCTATTCAAATCATAGATCTGAAAATAAATTTATTATACGTGAAATTTGTTATAAAGAAATATTTATGTGTGAAATTTATTATAAACCTAATTTATCGCATGTTACAGACAACCTTTTGGCTTTTTGATATTTCATGATGTGGACAATCGTCTTTGTGATCCGGTATTATATTAATACCAACCGATTCAAGCGCATCATCTATGACTTCCTGTGCTCTGTAACACTAAATATCATGATAAACTGGATCCTGAACAAAGGAAGACAACTGTCACTATATATTCTGTCACTTATACAAACATGAACATGCAGTTTTAGTTCTCGTGACCTTTTACACGAATTTAGATTTCCTTTTAACTTCGACGCACTTATAACAGCCAGAAACCAACTCGTACAAATTAATCATCCGTCCCATGGATATCAATAAAGTACCAAGAGCTTAAATATACCGCAGTACTTGACAACAATCCCAATGCACATAACAATAATCAAATGCTAATAACAAACGAAGAACTCAAAAAAACTGGAAGATAATTTTTCTCAAATTCCTAACAATTTGATCGGACTTTCACTGCAATAAAATATCCATCAAAGAGAGCAAGAAAATAATTCTCCAAAACTGTTTATTTGAAAAACTGAATTTTTTCCAGAATATGAGTTGCAGTACCACAAAAAGATGAAATTTCACATGCAGAAAAAAAAAACGTGCATGAAAGGATTAGAAGCTTGAGCAAATAAAACACATTTACAACAGAATAAACACAAGAAATATTATTAATAATTACAATTCCTTTCCATGTCGTAGCCTGAACTAGTAATTTCATTTCTATTATTATTACTGATAACTGCTTCATTAGTAATAATAATTTCTTAATTAAAAAATTACAGCATCTGTTGTTATAATGTAGACTTGGCTAGCCGTTGAAATTAAATAAATTAAAATATTCGAAATCGAAAGAACAGCAAAGATATCGCTCCGTGTGTTCTTCGAATCAAGATCAATGTCACCATCAAAGCTGAGAAAAGATTTTAGAAATTCAAAATTATCCCACCATTTCTAGTGTGATTTTGACTTTTGTTTCTTATCCGATTCATCAAAAGCAGTAGTTAGACTATAGAATAAAAAAATCCCAAGCACTTTTAACGAGGTCTGCCACTACATATTTTGAAGCCGTGACATCAAAAAATTCCTGCATTTATTTTAGGCCTTATCGCTTATAATTAACTGAAAACATAAATGGATGCACACAGTCCACATATTTCAGAATCTCACTACCGGGATCTTTCCCGGAATGTAGGAGTCAATCAGGATTATTATGCTATAACTACTGTCAGTCATTCATTATTTAAAGAGAAAAAAGTTTTATCAGTTAACACTTAAAGAGAAAAAAAAAATTGACCTCCTAACCGGACCTCGTATTCGTTCTGCAGCACGATGCGTAAGTAATCGAGCAGCAAGCACAGCAAAATCTTTATTTTGCTTAACAACTGTCCACCGAAACGGTCCATGCTCCAATTCAATTACATACCTGATGGAAAAGCTATTTTTCATTGCAATACTTATCTCATTCATTTCAATTTATAGTAAATGCATTTGGATTTATTTAAAACTCCTGTCAATACTGAGTTTATATAAATATAAATAACTGATATCAATTTAGTATGAGAAAATCTATTAGTCAGTGTTAATAATACTCTAATCACATACAAAAAGTAACCACTTCTTGTGATAATAGCTTACCTTTGAAGTGTTCATTTACTTATTCTATTTCTCTCAGTAGCTGCCATATGTTGAATGATACAAAATAAAATATGATAAACAATAAATTAAAATAATGAAGTAGAGTACTTTCTGAAACGTTGCAAAGCCAAGATGAAACGAACTGTCTGCTCATTCAGAGAATATAATGCATCCCAATTACTAAAATTCAAATCTTACAAATAAGCGTTTATGAGATGCAATCCGAATTTATGATCTCGTTTTACGTCGGTTATTCGAGCTTTTACCGGAAGGCCGGGAATCCAGTAACCACGGCGTCGCGCTTGATCTTGAGTCTCATATGTCGACAGGTAGGGTACATTACCAACTGAAACAATATTAAAACCGGTCAAATCTAATATGTTATATATATATATATATATTTTATTTTTAGGCACACATTTTGAAGTTCGCAAAAAATTGCTGAATGAAAGTAAAATAAACTAATCGCTAAATTATTCCACTGAACTATTCCACAGAAAATTATTCAGTGGTTCCATGATAAGAGAAAACAGAGAAATCCTCCCGTAATAAACAAATTTCCAAAAGCTATTAACTTAAAAAAGATGAACCAAATATCGTTGGATATATATAACCTTTTTATGGTACAAATAAGCTACATAAAACCAATCGAAGCACTTCGCTGAATTTATTTTCCATGATACAATTTAGTTTTAAATCACTGTTTTTCTATTTTTGTTCATCATCCTTTTTATTTCATATCATCATCAAATAAGATCTAACATCATAAGTAATTAAGTAAGAAACAAACTTTTATAATTTGGTGAGCCAGGTAATGTTTCATACAGCCGAGCTACAATACAATCACACGCGAAACCCTCGAAATCTCCATTATCACTTCTATCAGCCATTCAAGATGAACTGTGCGCAACAATATAACAATTCAAAATATGATCGTTTTTAAGATTGGTGGAACATCGGAAATAACGATGTGAACTGCCTAAAGCCATCAACAGCCATTCAACTGAACACGACTTAATGCGAACAATAAAAAATTCAGCTGGTGCTACAAAATCAATTTTTCCAAGTAATTCACTTAGCCGCCTTTTATCTACTAATTATTTGATAAATTTATTAGCTAGTTATTGAATTGTTTGTTAACTCCTAAGTATCATACCTTCTTAATTCAGTGGAATTTTTTTTTGACTTGACAAAAATTGATTAAAATTTACAAAAAATTAGATGGCTTTCATTGCTATCCTTTTTTTTTCCATCCTGAGATTTAAATCAGTTTGAGTATAGTTGAATAATCAAATATATGGATTTAATTAAGGTAAGCAAAAAAAGAGAGTATATAAAGGAAATATATGAAAAAGGATAAATTAAGCACATGAAGGAGAATTAAAATAAACTGGAATGAATCAAATTTCCTTCGCAAGAAGCAAATCACAAAGAATAAATAAATTTAAACAATTGGAAGAATATTAATCACATTTACTCTTCTACTACAATAATGAAATGATCGAAATCACTATTTTCCCAATTTCATCCCATCACTTCTCCCTCAATTCTTCTCAAATTTCACATGTCTTTCTTTCTATTACTCATATGTTTAGCTGAGCACAGTTTATTTCGCAAACTCTACCAACCCCAATATCTCTTCAATTACTGCATTATTTCACTGCTGTTTTGCTAATTCTGCTTCATATGTTTAATATACAATGCAACCAATATGCAAAAACTTTGCTTTTTTTTATAGGCTTAAAATAGGAGACAAAAATTCATGAATTTTATATTTAAATTTTCACTCTAATGGATTTAAAATTCAGTTATCAACACAAACAAAGTTTATGCATTTCTCAATGAATTCCAATCGTACTGTCTGTTCTCACTGTCTATGTGATCATTTTTAAAATTCGATTATGTAATTCATAATTTTGGGCGCAAAAATAATGATTTTATAGATGGAAGATAAATAGTTTTCTGCTGACCACTTTTTTTTCATATATTTTTTCATTTTCCTTTTTTTGTGCTACATAGATAGATCTAAAATTTTCAACTTTAACTGTCAATATTTGATTTCAAATCCAAACAAATGATCAGTCCCAACTTTACTTATATTTCATTAATTGAAATGTTTTGCGTAAAATGCGAGAAAGAAAAAGTATGACCTGAATTGAAAAGTCCAATAAACTTTTAAGTTATTTGGCACAAAAATTAATGAAATTGATTTGATGAAATAATCAGAAATATTTTCCTGCATCTGCAATGGGCAAAATTTTCTGACAAAATGATGTTGAAATTTTTTAAATTTCAAGCCGGAAAAATAATATTCAGGTATTAAAAGTTTTAAAAATTTGAAAATTTAATTAAACGAGATGGTGTGCAT